AATCAATTCATCTAATGTTTCATTGCCACTAGTCCATCCTTCAGTTAATAGCTTTGGATTACATGATTGACACCATTCCTTATTAGTATTGTATCTATTGCAGGTTGGACATTTCCCATATTCTTCATTTCTAATATATGGATCTTCATAATCTTGAAGACTTCCATCCTTCATGTATTCCATTACAAAGATATATTCTTTTGTAGCTGGATCTTGTGTTAATCCATAAATTTTATTTATAAATGATTTACCATGAAATGTAGCATAATTTCTAAACTATTAAAAAATATATTGAATTTCAGAATAAGATCAAAAAATCTGAAAATAAATAGAAAAATAAAATAATTTACCTCATTAACAAATTCATCAGAAATATTCTGTGAATTATGTAACTTTTTTAATGCCACAGACCTGCCTTCACTATCATTCATACATATCTCACCATTTAACCAAGTAGCTTTGGATATAGTTGCAAACCCACCTTCACCCATCTTTTCAGTATTTGTTAAAACATTATAAGGAATCCATTGAAGATAATAATCACAACCACAATTTGTTGCTTTAAGTTGTGTACTTTTAATCAACTCATCTAATGTTTCATTGCCACTAGTCCATCCTTCAGTTAATAGTTTTGGATCGCATGATTGACACCATGCCCAATCAGTGTTATATCTATTGCAGGTTGGACATTTCCCAAACCATTCATATCTTTCATCAAAATATTTATCATTTTCATCAGTAGAAGTATCGTCATGATGTTTATTTTCGTCCAAAGTGTTTTCCATTATGATCTTTGTATAATTTGTCAAAAAAAAATTTTTTTTAAAGAACTTTTTTTTTCAGCACAAATAGGTATTACAAATATATTAATATTATTAATATTTAGATTTATCTAAATTTTATCTGAACTACAACAATTCAGCATTGACACCCTAAAGTCGTAAAACTGTAATAAATATTGCAAGCATGTGATCTGAGTTATTGGGGTCACCAAATATGGCAAACAATTAAAATTATGTAAACTATACTGTTTGATTCGAATAGAGTTCATTCAAATTATTTGTTTTATTTGCTATGAATTTGAGTATTCGAATTACATTGAAAGTTTATTCGAATAAAATGAATAACAAATAATTCGATAATTCGATAATTCGATAATTCAAATAGAACGAATGAACAGATAATTCCAAATAATAATAAGACAAAATAAATAATTCAATCAATAGTTTAAATGAAACAAATAAACGAATAGTTCGAATAAAATGAATAGTTCGAATAAAACGAATAAATTAGTAAAATAAATAAACAAATAATTCGAGTAAAACGAATAATTCGAATATTTTAAACAAAACAAATAAACGAATAAACGAATAGTTCGAAATAAAATGAACTAAACGAATAATTCAAACAAAACGAACAGTTCGAATAAAATGAATAATTCGAACAAAACGAATAAACGAATGATAACAATTTGAATAAATGAATGATAGCAATTCAAATAAACGAGTGATGATAATTCGAATAATAAACGAATGATAACAATTCAAATAAAACGAATGATGACAATTCAAATAAAACGAATGATGACAATTCGAATAATAAACGAATGATAACAATTCAAATAAATATAAACGGCTGATGATAATTCGAATAATAAACGAATGATAACGATTTGAATAATAAACGAATGATAACGATTTGAATAATAAAACGAATAAACGAATAGTTCGAATAAAATGAATAAATGAATTATTCGAATAAATGAATGATAACAATTCGGATAAAGGAATGATAATAATTCAAAGAAAACGAGTAATTCAAACAAAAATTTGTTACGAATAGAAACTTTACTCTATTGCAGAGTCACCAAATCTGGCGTACAGCCAATAATGTTCAAACTAAACTAAAATCACCATATACAACACTACTTGAGGCGTCCCTACAAGAAATATAGTAAAACTAATAAAAGGGGTTCCTAACTAATAATTAAATGTTGGCCAAGCCATTAATCATCAAAAAGGGTTATGAATCAATCAATCATGCCAGATTTATTGATTAATGAAAACTGTTATTTTTGTTACCAAAGTGTTATTATTGAAAGATCAATTATTTATTTTTGTCGATTAATTTTTTTTCGCTGAAGGAGATTTCAAGCATATTTACACTTTGAATTATTACAAATAACTTTTTACATGATTTTGTCCAATAAATAAAATAAAGTATAATGATAAATGATGACTAATTGACAATTACTAAGTTAAATGTCATGATTAAATGATACCTGACAAAATGTTTTTGTCATAATTAATTAATAAATTTATATTCATTGAGATGGTAGTCAGCTTCAATTTGTAAGTGTTGATGATAATTTGTCTTCCTATTAACTTTTTGGTTTAAGAATATTATTAAACAGGCAATGTGACTGGACACATTTATATTGCACCAATTCCATTCCATTCATTAATGGCATAGAAGACATTGATGAACCTTTCTTTGAAGTCAACACAGCTTTAATAGGACAGGTTTCTGGATTATTTTGCAGGAAAATCAATTAATTGGCCAAATAAATCCTGAACTAGAGATAAATCTGTTTTTCCTTTTATTTATCAGATCAACTTGCTTATTTCACTATCAAAAAACTATGCTATTGATCCAGAATTAAAGGGCACACAACAACCATGATTGTTATATTTGTAGTCCTACACTAAGCCTAGAAACATCATCATCAAGTCCATCATCTTTAAATACTGTTAGTTCTCACACCCATACTAAAAAATAAATAATTTATGAAGAAAAAGTAAAAAAAGAAGTATTGCTTGAAAGTATTTCTTTAAATGAAACCTCATCAGAAGTTCAAGATGCTCGAAATCTTAATAATGAATCTAACTCATTACAGCAAGCAAGATTACTTTTTAATGTAATACAAAAACACAATAACTCAATCATTAGTAAACATTTGGATGAAATTGGTAGATATTTAGACAAGACAATAAAATATTGAAGTATTCAAATCACGGAATGTGTATTTGAAAACAGAAAATACTATTACTATCCTATAAATGGTCAGAGTAGAGTATTTTTAATGGTAACACAAAATAATGATCAGCCAAAGCCACAAGGATGGTAACCGAATTTTATTTATAGATCAATCAGCTGAATCTCAAAGATCATTTTCACACCAGGAAGTGATACCTCCAGAAAAAGTTTTTGAAAAAAAGATCAGCTATCAATAGCCAAAAAACCATTTAAGGGATAATAATATTAATTTGCAGATTGTTTAAGATAACATACATAGTAAATTTCTCATTTTTTGTGACTTCCTCACAATTTTTAAAAAATCAGCTATACCATATAGAATGGAATGAAAGTTAAAGTCCAACTCGATAATATTGTTTTTTTCAATTTATGTTACATATTAAATTTATATTAGAGTGAATCTCAATTTAGTGCACTTCAATTTAATGGATTGAGGTCCAAGAATGGTTTAATAAAAAATAATGATAAGGTTCTTCTCAATATAATGGATTTTTGGAAAAAAATTTCTAATTGCCCAAACTATATGCTAAACCAAGATTGTGTATATTTTTAAATTTTAACTGAAAGAATATTATTTAGTGATGATGGCTAAAACTATTTTTGAAAAAAAGGTAGTTTTGGTCAATACTATGGTAGTTCAATATTTTTTATAATAACAAACATATAATAAGTATCTAAATCAATCTACTTTAAAAAACTAAATTAGTTTCACCCAAGTTTAGGTCAATTAATGTTGGCAATTTCAGCCCGCTAACTAAAGTATCACCAACTTCACAAGAAAAAAGTTGAATTAACTAACAACTGAAAAAAAAACGTGTTAAGAATGATAATTGATAAAAATGAATATAAATTTGCCCCACTAAAAAATTACCAAGTGATTTTGAAATCTGGAACTTGTCCAGAAAGAATGAGGGCAGTGAGTTCTCTAGGGTTAGTATTGATACAATATTGACAAAATTCACTTCGGGTAAATTTTTTACTGCAGCACCAACATGACAAGTTGTAAATAGCAGTCTGCTATATTAGTTGTTTTAGCCTCTACAAAAATTTTGCCTCCTTTAGTGGTTCAAATATATTACATAAACTTTGTAAATCTTCAAAAAACCTCTAATAAATTATTTTTCTTCCAATTTTTCTTTCCTCTCTAGGTTATGTTTAATTTCCTTTTATTGGTTATGATTTTTCTTTCTTGGTAAATTTTATAAGCAATTCTTTCTTTCCTTAGATAAGCCTCAAGTGTCTGAGTATCATTTATTTTGAAAACACAAGGAGCAGTATTTTCCCCTTGTTCTTTCTTCAAATACTTGATTCCATAGTGGGCCTGATCTAAATTAGTTTCATATTAATTATTTTTACATAGGAGTAATTCTATATACTACTTGAAGAAAAAATAAACAAATGAGGTGTTAATTGTTAAATCCATAATATGATTATTATTATTATTATTGAACCGAAGTTTTGATAATACAAAATGTTCACATGTCCCATATGGGCTGAGAAACAATATAATGATACAATTTTAACCGTTGCCTATTTTCTATTTTTAAAATTTTTTGCTTTGCCCATAATTTCATATGGCGCAAAAATTGCTTTGCCTGATTTTAGATAAGACTTTTAATAAAAATAGACCCAAATTTTTACCAAAATTGGATGTTACCTCAATTATAATGATACGGGGTGAGTTAGTTACACTTGTACTTTGATTTCTTCAATCGTCCAAAGAAAGAGTTCCTTGTTGGTGTGTTAAGGGGTCAGGTACATTTATAATCCTTATATAGTAGATTCAATCATTTTAAAAAAAGAACAATTTTGGTTGAAGCTCGGATTTTCAAAACCCCCATATAAAAAAAGAAATTCTGTAGTTATTATTATTATGCATACAAAATTATTATTAGTATTAGTATGATTAAAAAAAATTTTTTTATTCCATCTAAAAAATTTTTAAAAAGGATTTAGTAAATAAAATGGAAACTATATTTGGAATACATCATGACACGGCTAGTTTAAGAGAAAAGAATGATATAATTCAAAAATCTAAAAGTAAAGATGTCATTCTTGATGGTGTTAATGAAAAGAATGAAAAGAATATTATTAAAAAACCATCAGTTGATAAATCTTTGGATAAATTCAATAATAATAATCCAACAACAACACTTCAATCACTTTTACGATTTGCTAAATCACCAACTCTTTCTCCCCATAGTACACCTCATAGTACACCTCCAACATCAAGACCTGGTACACCTTTTGATGAAATGACCGTGGAGAAAATGATGCTAGGAAATAATTTAAATTATCCAAATGTTACTGTTACTGCTAATAATAATAATAACAACAACAACAATACAAGCGAAGATTCAATAATTGCTCCTTTGGCGAAAACAGCAACAACTTCTTATCATCCTCACCATCATCATTATGATCCTAAATTTTTTGGCAATATAAAAAAAGTTTTGCCAGTTATAGGAGGAATTAACAATGACATCACTACTACTTCTTCTTCTTCTGCTGCCAATAACAATAATATTAATAATAGCAATAATAATAATAATAATATACAAAATTTCATTTACAATCGTCCTTCTTCCCCTTGGAATTTAAGTCTTGAAAATTTGAATGCAATTGCAACCGAATCAGAAAATAAATTTTCAAAAAAAACTTAATATATTTTATAAAGTTACCTTTTCTTAAAAATTAGTTATTTTTAATTTCAAAGATTGTAAATATAACATTTAAACTTTACAACATATATAGCATTTATTTATTTATTTCATGGTAGTAATAATATTAATCAATTAATTAATTAATAAATATTTATTTTTTTTTACCAATCGTTAAATTCTTTAGATTATATTATTTTCTTTCTTTGATTTTGTCTCATTGATTCCACCCTAACCTTTTACGTCTTTATTTAAATCCTAAATTATTTATTTATATCACCATCACATCACCACCTGATAAATATAGATAACTTCGTGGTCAATGAATAATGAAATAAATCAAATTCGATTTTGATGAATACACGACATTAATGCAAATGTAATATATAATATAATGTTACCTTCCTGCAAATGATTTGATTTCTACAACTGCATCACAAAGATGTTCAATCAACAATGCATTTATTGATTCATGTAGATATGCTAATATTGCGATTACTGAATCATATGTGTATTCCTAATCAGTCCTCTTAATTCATGCAAATATCCTAATAGAAACACAACATGTTTAGATATATGGATGTTTTGTTTGATTAAAAAAGTTCAAACAAAAGATCAAGAAAGAAAATTATTTTCGTTATATTGGAATTTCTAATTTTCCAAAATGGTGGTGAATAGAATGTATCCTTCTAAAAATGTTTCTTTTATTAAAATTTTTTTTTAAAAAAGACAGATTAATATTAAGAATTAAGAAAACCTAATAATATATATGATATGAAAAACCTAGAATGATTTTTTATAAATTAATAAAGATGGTTTCATACTGATTTTCATTATTACCATCAACACTATATTCAACGTTATCTTTAACAATATCTTTCAGATTAGTCCAGCCAATGCTATCAATCAGTGTAGTTAGTTTTGAGGAACTTTCCAATATTGAACTTGGTATTATTTTAGTAAGATCAAATATCCCACAATAAGGGGGTTCTTTTTATTTAATGATGAAAATGATGTTGGTGAAGAAGATGTTGTTATTGATAATAATTGAGATTTTAAAATTTTTGAAACTTCCTTATTTTGTAAATTGATTAGAACAGGAACTAAAAAAAAATTATTTTTGAAAGAGAAGGAAACAAATAGATGATTCGATAATAATGATAATAACAGTAGTATCATTGATAACTATATGTAGCCACATCTTTTTTTTCATATTTTCCAAGTAATTTCTTTTTTCTTTTTTCTTTAATTATTCTAATTGTTCTGATAACAACAATTTATAGCAATTTATGCCAACCTCTTATTTTTAAATTATTTTTAGCTTTTGTTAATCCTTTATATCCTCACATTTACATCATCATCTCTTCTTTCCTTGATATTTATCACCTTTTTGAACATGGTCATTATCATTATCATTATCATCATTATTGGCAACAACCAAGGTAGATTTGATATGAATATTTTTTTCAGCAGTTTGTCAACAATAATCAATGTCGATCAATAAAATTTTTTTTGGTAAAAATTACGTACAAAACTAGTTCATGAAAAAGAGAGATATCGTTCTCGTTCTTGAATACATTTGTAGTATAATGCCTCTAGTTTGTGGGTACCGAGAGCCTGTTATTTTTATTATGATAAAAATCAATTTTTACGTATTGAGCAAAGAATGCTACAATCTGTCCATTTTTGATCATGTAGTTTTTACCATTAGCATTTGTTCCCCAAAAGTTATAGTATACTACAGCTCGAGTCGCTTGATCCCGAATAGTTTTATAAAATTAGAGTTTATTACGGAGTAAGATGCTTTGCATTGAGACTTTGACTCGTTGATGATGATGTTGTTGATATTGTATTAATTGGTGGTGGTAAGCGTTGACGTAAAGCATTTGGTGCACCAGGTGCTGTTATTAAAGAAATTTTTTGACCAGGTGTCGTTGTTGTTGGTGAATCATATATATCAACAAAGTTTTAGTTTATAATAACGAGCTTTCTCCTACTTTAAGCCTTTATTTGGCTCACAAATGTTAAAGTCGAGATGTTTTCATCGGTTTCATTTTTTTTATACCATAAAGCAAGAAATCTATAACCAATCACTACGAAAAAAGGTCTTGTCATAACGAGCGCCAATTTCATGAAATCCTGGCTTTCTTCCTCATTAAATATATAAATAAAGTCTTATTTTACCTATGCGTATTTCTGCTTTACAAATACTATCATCAAGCTCCGATTTTGCAACTTGAAACGAGAGACGACTCCCATTTATGAAAAAAATTTTATTGCAAAACAAATATCTTTATACGTGCAAATACTTGCTTGGAAACGATTAATTTCTTCTTATCTCCTGCGTATTAAAGATTTAAAGAATAAATTATTATGTTTTTTTCTTGGGGCGGAAATTTTTTAAAATAAAAACAATAGTACTAAGAACAATCAAGCGTTAATATTTTATTTATGTTATATTCGAGTAGATGCTTCAATTCGACTATGCATTGTCTTATTAAATTACGTGCGCACATATATAGATGTATTAGTAGTATATATTAATGTCATTTTACCATTCGTGATTAAATCATCCTTCTCGTTGCATATATTATTAATACGAGGCAGATTGCAACAAAGAACATCAAGTCGCAAAGAAATTTCAGAATCAATGTAATATAAGAGGCTGCAATTCTCACACTCATTTACCACCATCCATCGGTATTAGCTGAGCCATTAAGAAAATATCCTGCTCTAGTTTAGAGAGAGCTTGAAAAGATTCACGTAATTTTGGAATTTTAGTTGAACAGTCGCAAGCATAACATGCTTTATTGCCTTTTCATATTAATTAAAACCATTATATTCATTTTTATATACATATATAACAACAGGAGAGACCGTCCTATATAAGGAATGGATTTTCACAATTGATTTCAATTTTTTTTACATACATTGTTCATTTTTCGCCACAATCATATATCTTAGGTTATTTTGATTATATCGAGAGATATGGCCAAGAGAAAAGTTAGGAAGAGAGTTATTCTTCGACCAAGTCAAAAACCAACCCTTTAAATACATTTTCGAATAGTACAATTTAATTTATTAGACTATTTCTTCCAACTTCTTAAATTCGTTAATGAAACAATTGTTGGTGAAGTGATTGTTGACAAAATGAATCAAACCCATATTTATTTCTACATTATCAAATTTGCGATTTTAATTGGTCAATCAACAAATTGCATGGGTTAAAATTTTGTATTCCCTCCTGTTAATTTTTGTGTTCCCAGAACGGTTGAATTTTTCAAAACGTTACACTAGAATTTATTAAATAATTATGGTGTCACTCAAAATTAGTTTGAATTAATCACCTGGACTTCAAAGAGCTAAAAAGAGGAATTTCGTTAAAGCTTTATACAAAAATTCTTATTAATAATTTAAATAGTACTATGGGAAGAATAGATATCTTGTTTCAAATTAACCAAGATCTTTGGTAAGGTTTGGATCTCAAATATATTGGTTTAAAAAAGAACACTAAAGATGGGCAATTAGCATGAAACTTCAAAATTTCATATGCATTATGCACATTTTATGCAGTACATTTTTTTGAATTTTACAAAATAAATATCTAAATATCATTTTCAATATTATTATCACTACCATTGCCTTCTTCTTCATCATTTTCTATTCTAAATTGTTTCATTATCATCATCATTTTTATAATTTTCACCTCCCACACTTCCATCATCATCAATTAATTATCATTTTTAATTTGTAATTAAAATAAATATACACCAATTTAAATCACATTCAAGTGTCAATTTGTTTCTTTTTTTATCATGTATAAAAGAAAAAGTGGACCAATTCCTTTTGGAAGCAAGCTGGTGAAATAGGAGCTGAAATTATCAATTCTACCCAGTTTAACAAATGAGGCCAAATTTTCGATCCTGAAATTTTCTTAAAAATATACTATCAATAATATAATCTATAATAACTTGGTAAAAATTAAAAATTCGCATTTTTTTCGAATAGAATTATGGATTAGTATGGGGCATTGTATGATTTGAAAAAAAAAACACGCGCATGTCACATCACTAGTAGTTTCGTTAACTTTATAAAATTTCTTATTAATAGTAACATAGGAATACATAGAACAAAACCTCTGGTTTCGGGCAATTACACATCAACGAATATGCTCTAATTTGCTCTTATCTAAATTTACATATTTACATGTTTTATGAATAATTGTTCTGATTTTATTTGATAAATTTTGTATAGATATGAATGAATAAAACAAATAATTCAAATAAAATGAATAAAGCGAATAAAATAAATAAAACGAATGGTTCGAATCAAACGAATAAAACAGCGAATAATTCAAAACGAATAAAACGAATAAGAATTTGTATTACGAATAGAAGCTCTACTCTACTCTTATAAGCAAGACCCGAAATAATATTAATATAAAATTTTAATTAAACAGTTGATTGATTTCATTGGAATCATTATATCTTTTTGCTGCATATAAAGCTTCTAGGTCTAACTGCAAGCAAATTTTTTCAAGAGAAACATAATCTAATGTCAACGAAAGAGTTTTTTCTGATGGTTAAAAGGTATAATCACAGTTTTTACAAATGTATTGTTTTGCTGTATCTAAGAATAATTCAATAAACTTAAGTTTACAGTGTAACTTGGAATAAAAATGACAAGAATCAATAATTTCTTCGAATTAAAGATTTTTGGTTAATGAAGTCAGGTTAAAGTTCAAGAATTCGAACTGCACAACCAGAATCTTGGATTGGTGAATGTTTCTGATGGCAGACCAAAAGGAATTGAATTAGTCCTTAAAGAAAGAAATTTATCAACAAAATTAGACCGAATTGCGCTGCTTGCAGGTAAATGCATTTCTGGTCTTGTTCCATCCGGCATTGTTCAATCTCTAAATTTAATTCCCTCTTGATTTAAGAATCATTTTTCTTGCAATTAAATCATCTTCGGCATAAATTGCACAACTTGTTGCATTATCAAATTATCAAATGCAAAAACTCCAATTAAAAAAATTAAACAGGATCAAGTTTTTCAAAATTGGCCATTTCAACAATCTATAAATTAGTTGGCAAGTAATTTTTTTTAAATAAAAATAAAAACCAATTATCTTCAATTAATTTACTTGCTTAAATGTTCAGGAGCCCACCAGCCTTTACGATTAACCCCAGGTTTCATCGCTACACGAGATTCTTCATTTCAATCCTCTGTTAGAAAATCACCGACATGAAGACTCAAACCTGTTCCTTTTTCCCAATGGCGCATGAGGCGGGAGTCCCAAAATACAGATTCATCATGTCTAACAAGTATGTGCCTTTTTTCACCTTGATTCAAAGAAGGTGCTATGATCAACAGAAATAGGCTTCTATTCTTAAAGGTCACATGCAAAAATGGTTCTGCACATCATTTTCCGAAATTTATTGATTGAACTTAAGAGACAAAATGCTTGTAGGCATTGTAATTTTTAAACAGACCATCTACAAAATTTAAATTTACTTTAGTGGAGCGGGAGATTTTCTAAATACCGCCCGCGTAACAAAGTTATTTACTGTATTATTTTTATTATTTTTATTGGAAAACAATAATTTGAAAATAATCAAAATTTATTATATATTTTTCAAGATATGTACACATACAAATAATAAATAAAAAGAATAAAAAAAAAGTAAATAAAAAAAGTTGGAAAATAATTCTTTGTTTATACAGTATCTATTTGTTATTATATTATTATTTTAATGAAAAAATAATATACATCATTTTGTTAATTTCTAATTCTGTACTAAAAAAAATATAAAAAATAATAAATAATCTAGTCTTTTCGTTTATGCCCAAGATAAATAAATAAAATAATAAGTACTTCGACGTAATTATTATTATTATTAGTTATTGTATATTATATACATTGAATAAATATATTAATGTTCAATTGCTTCCAAAATCGTCTTGTATTTCTTAACGTTTTGATTTAGGTATTCAACAAATTCTCCAAATTGATCAGGTATTGAATCTTTATTACCACCATTAATTTTTACAATTACTTTAGGAGTTTCATCAATATAGATTCTAAAATTAGTAATATAAGATGAGTAAAAAAAATATTTAAAATGTTTAAATTTAATTGATTAATTATTATATTTACAATGCAACCGGAAACGAATATTTTCTACGATGTTGCCTAGCATATAAAAAACTTGATTCAATATCAGCTATGAACCTTGCCTTTTGAGCACAGAGTTCAACCTTTCTATCAAATTTTCCAAGATCATTACCAAGTGAACCACTAAGTAGAACATTCACGCATGCTAGAATTATTAATGTAAATCCAACATATAATATTACCAGATAAGGATCATCCTGCAATGACCAAGATCTCAATGCACTGTTGTCACCTATAAAATAAATAAATTGATTGTATTTAACATTATTACAACACAATTTAAATCAAAATCAAAATCAAAATCAAAATCAAAATTTACCATTAAGTATTTCTAGTATGGAAGGAAACTTGTTGGTTTTGTTGTCAGGTTGTTGATCATCATTGATAGCAGGCTCATTTATGAATGCATGCCAAAAACTCAGAATAATTAAAGAAAAAATAATTAAAAACGGAGAAATGTTTTCTAGAATTCTTAATATTATTATTACTGCATAACATATTCTAAATTGTTCAACAACTCTTAAAAATAATATAAATTTCAAATTTAATAATAAATTAGAGAATGAAATTAACTGCCTAGATGGTGATGGTTTCTCATTAATTACCCAAATAATTGAAGCTATAGTTGGCAGTAAATATGCAATAAAATCTATAAAAGCAGTTATTATGTTTATATAATTAATAAAATTATTAAGGAAATAAATAAATAAACTCTTGTTAAATAAAATCAATAACTTACCGAATAAATTCGAAATCTTTCTTATATACTTTTTTGGGTTATAACTAAATTGTCTTATTTCAAAATAAAGGTTAACAACCCCAAGTATAATTGCAATAATTACGAATAACGTTCTAGCTTCATTTGGAAGTTTATCTGATTGTGTTGTAGCAGTAACAAAAAATGATAAAAAGGCTATATAAATTATCAAACGTCGATAATAATATCTGAATCCAAATTTTTCCCATTTAAAATCCAATATGCATTGAACATTTCTATTTTTGTATAATTCTAAAGTTGATTCTTCCCAAACTGAATCTTTTTCATAAGTAAATAATTTAATCGATGGGATTGAAAATTTTATTCTATGAGTCTCTATATTATTGTTGTTATTTTTTAAAATATTAATACTACACTTAAATGGAAACAAAAACTTTGAAGTAGTTAATTTGTCTTTTTCAAAATGAATAATGAACGCTCCTTGTACAACAACACTATTATCATCTAATGCTGATTCTAAAATCTTCTTTCCATATTTGGTAAAATAATAATCATCATCTAACATATAGAAAAGCATTTCTTTGTAAGGCTGTCTAGAAAATCCTTTAACAACTTCTTCACAATCAAATAATGATTCTTCAAAGTTATTATACTCTGTGTAGAACTTAATTTTTTTAAATATAGCTTCTTCATTATCACCATCTAAATAATCATTCTTAATATATTTTGTATATATTCTCAAACTTTGTTCATTGAATGACAAAATCAGTATATAGTTAGCTGTTCGTATCATTAAATCATTGTTATCTAATAATTCAGCACATCTAAATTCATCGTTAACATAACTAAATAAAGCATATTCGCCAACTGTGGTCCATCCTTCATTAATAAATTTCCATGCTTTTATATTAATATTTTCAAAACTACAATTATATTCAATTGACCATACAACTGAATTTCCACTTTCAATAACGCAATTACTTGGTCTATCATAACCTAAAAGTTTTTTATGTAGTTTACATAACTGTTGTTGTAATTGTATATTGATTCTATTATTATCTAGTATGTTGATGATAGTGTGAGAAGTTGACATTGAAAAATAAAATGAGATAATTTTTTTCGTATGTATGTTACAAACAAACCTTAATTAATTATTAGCACCTAATTAATGATCTGCAAGCCGCATTTTTAATTCACTTATTTTTCACTGTCGTAACATCCATCATATTACACTTATATTTTTAATAAACGATTAAATATTGACGAATAGACACGTATAAATCTTTTTTTCTTGAATTGTCAAGGCTTGCTTCTTTTAACTCTTTACTAAAAACAACAAATGCTGCGCCGTGTGGCCAAATTATCAAATCCCAAAATAGAATGATATTTTTGGTTATAATTCTACTTATTTGCTTAGCGGTGTATATATAAAATAGGATGGTAAAAGACTATAAATTACCCAAATTCCATAATATTTGAATCTGGATTTATTCCACTTAAATCCAAGATGAGTTGAACATCTCTATATTTATATAATTTTCTAATTCCCAAACTGAATGATAATTTTCATAAGTAAATAATCCAATAGATGATATGAAAAGTTCTATATTACGAAGTTCTATGCTATTATTGTCATTTTTTTAAATTAAAGGCATAATGATTCGAGTCTTGTAACCTTTCTACAGAAAGTTTCACTGCCAATTTCATAAAAGTGGTTCTTAAAATTGGATTATATCCCAACATTCTCAAATAAGCAGCTTGATCTATTTTCCATAGAACATATGGAGTATTTGTCACCAGGTTTGTTGGTCGCTGATTATCAGTGAAAAATTCCAATTCACCTATCATGGTAAGTGGTAGAATTCTCTTGATCACATTTAGTTCGTTGTTTTCTGCCGATGTAAATGTAATAGTCAATTGTCCTTGCTTCACCACATATATACAGTTTGGATCAGATCCTTGTGACTACAGTTGTGAGCCCTTTTGTATTTCTTTCTTTGTAAAATACAGAGTTAAAAAATTAAGAAAAGTTTCTCTTTTTTTTTCATTGATAATTTCCTTAAATGCTTTCATCAGAATATTTAACAAGTTTGTTTTCGCTTTTAAGACAAAGTTCATGTTTAGATTCTGTTATTTTAATATTTTCCCATTCTCATCTATCGGCTTTTGAAATTTCTGAAAGTTTTATAATACTCTTTGGTTTATCTAAATTACTATTTAATTGATTATCTAATTCAAATATTTCCCAGCTAATTTTATTTATTACTTTTTTTTTTTCAACTATTTAATGGTTTTTTTTAATATATTAATTAATTCATTAAGTGAAATTTTAATTTCATTATCATTTAACAACCATTTTAATGCTGATTCTTTTTAATCTCATCCATTAAAATTTTCATTAGTTGTAATAATTTTTCTTTTCAAAATTTTTTCAAGCTCGTCTTTAATGTTGTTATTTGTATTCCTGAATTTATCTTTAATCCATTTTCAATTCATTCCATTTCAGTTCTAATGTTGTTTGTTCAGGGATTCCAGCAAGTTTCTTAAGCTCTTCAGATATAAATGCCAAGTAATCAGGATCTTCATTACTGTCATCAATTTTTTTATGAATGTCGTCAATTGGTACATTATAGGTTCTAAAAATTTAGTAATACAAGATGATTAAATATTTAATTAAAAATTTAAAATATTTAAAATTCTACAAAATAGTTTAATATATTTACAATATATCTGGAAACCAATCTTTTCTATGACGTTGTTTAGGATTTAAATAAAACAATTTGATCTCAGTTATAACCTTTGCTTTTTGAGCCAAAAATGCTTCGTTTTTTGCATTATAAATATCAATTTGATCGCCAAGTATAGCAATAAATAAATTTATAAGATATGCCACAACTGTGAATGAAAATAAAATATCTAATGTTACTAGATAAGGATCGCCTTTTAATGGCCAAGATCCAAATGCGCCAGGATTACCTACCTATTAAAGTAAATAAATTTAATTAGATTTAATAACCACTAGAATTTAAATCAAGTCAAATTAAAATTTACCTGTAAGCAAATTATATGTTGATAGTATTGAAAAAGGAAGATATAGATTAACAAGACTCCGGGAATTGTTAGGATCATCATTAATAGTAAGCTTGTCTAGTATAAAGTATTGACTTGGTTTCAATAATATGTAAAATGCACGCGAATAATTAAAATAATTAGAAACGGAAAATTTTTTTTTGCAACCCTTAATATTGTTGCAAAATATATTCCGAATGGTTCAAAAACTCTTAAAAATAATATAAACTTCAAATCTAATAATAAATTAGACAATGAAATTAACTGGCTGGGTGATGGCCTTTCATCCATTAACCAAATAATTGAAGTGATTGTTGGTAATAAATATCCAACAAAATCTATTAAAACAGTTATTATGTTTATATAATTAATATAATTAATAAGGAGACGAATAGATTTAAAAAAACCACTATCTTACCAAAGAAATTCGAAATATCTCTGATATATTTGTTTGGATTATAAGTAAATTTCCTGATTTCAAAATGAAGGTGAAATATTCCAAGTATAATAGTAACACTTAATAATGAATTTCTAATTTCATTTGTAAGTTGATCTGGTCGTGTAGTAGTAGCAACAGCAAAACACAATAAAAATGCTATATAAATAATCCAAATTCCATAATAATATCTCCATCCAAATTTATTCCATTTAAAGTCCAATATGAGTTCAACGCCCTTATGTTTATATAATTCTAAAGTTTCTAACTCAAGAAATTTACTATTTTTTGGTCTAAATAATTCCTTCCAAGTTGAATAAACATTGTCATAAGTAAATAATCCATATGGTATTAAAAGTTTTGTACCGTGGATTTCTCCATTATTCTTATTAAATTTACTGTTATCACTGTCATTTTCATCATTATTATTAATTTTCTTATAATAATAATTATTTAAATTATTTAAATTGAAATTTTGATCAGCATATTGGTCATAATAATACTCTTGAACACATTCTTTTGTTTCTTTTGTAACCTTTGTATAAATGAGTAAAATAAATGTTACGTGAAGAAATGGTAATATTATGCGTTAATTAATAAACTTTTAGTTGTGATTTATATGGGAAATTTACCATTAATGATTTTGTATAAATGGAATCTCCGCATAATAAATAACAAGTATTTTGATGTGATTCAGTTTTAATGTTCCATTGTGAAATTAGTTTGTTATTGTTAGAAATTAAAAGTATATCAGAAAAGATACTAATCCTTGGATTTTTACAACTATCAATGTGATATGTTGCTTTATGAACCAATTCATCATTACTTGTATATGTAAACAAATAGAAATTATCATCGTCGACCATTATTAAATCATTATTCTTAGTAAAAACCCCTTGATGAAAATTTTCTTTTTTTTTCCCCTTGAGTTGAACTTTGTGGTATTCTTTTTTGGAAAAGTTGAGAAATTCTAGAAAAATTGTAAAAAGTTATTATAAATATTAATTGATTTATAAATAACTAAACATAACCAGAGGTTATATAACTAGTCACTAAAATTAGAAATAAATATTAATCCTGATAGGGGCGGACCACTTATTCCTTTACTTGGAGGAGGTGTGGTGGTGATGCCATTCCTGTTACGGGAGGCGGTTCAACACTCCACCCTATATTATTTTACAGAAACTCTGGGTACCAGCTATATAACCACTGGTTGTTACTGGTGCTTCCCATAAAAAATATAATAATATTTACTTACTAAAATATTTCGATGGACGTTTGCTATATAAAATTATAAAATTATTTTCAGAAACATCATCATCAATAGTTACTTTTAAACATATATCTGAATTTTCATAAAAATCTTTATAGGAATATTTAAAATAATTAATTTGTTGGATTGTTTTATTATCATCAACTGTCCATTCGATAATTGATTTATCTCTTCTACTATGTGTTATAAAAAATTTGGAACTATTTAATTCATTGATAAGAAATCCATTATGGTGTCTAATTATTTCGGATTTTTTGGAAAAAAAATTTTTTTTCATTTTTTTATTTTTGTGTGTTGATTCCTACAAGAAAATTATTACATTACCGAATACGTTACACAAAACTCATTCTTATTTTAAGGAAATAAACACATAATTTATTGATAATGTATATCAATCAACCAACTCAACTTTATTATAACATTCAAAAAGAAAATTTTTATTTCTTAGCATTTTTAACAAACTTAATTTACCAAGACTTTTTTTTCAGATATGGAAGGAAAGGAATAAACCTTGTCTTGCGAGGTATAATATTAAAAAAAATTTTTTTTTTATTTTCTTGGTGGCGTTTTTCATATATTTGTTCTTTTTTATGATGAACTTTCTTTATGATTACAGTCGGACAGGATTTCACACTTACTGATTTTACTATATGATCGACACATCACGTTTTTCGTACAACAGACTTTAAAGGAAGA